TCGTGCCCCGGTCCGGGAGGATCCCACATGCCGCAGAGAGGCTGTGCCCGTGAGCCATGGCCGCTGAGCCTGCGCATCCAGAGCCTGTGCTCCACAATGGGAGAGGCCACAGCAGTGAGAGGCCCGCGTACTGCAAAAAAAAAAAAAAAAAAAAAGACAGGGATAGGACAGATAACTACAATTCACTCTACAGCATTCTCTATCACTTGATTTTTGCACCATGTGAATGCCTTAACTATTCCAGTAAATAAAATTAAAGGAAACGAAAAGTTTTGGGTTGATCCATTTCCATCTTTTATGCTCAGCATGGGTTCTGAGGGAGATGTCTAATAGTTGGGGGCTCTCACATGAGTGACTAACACCATAGGCCCCTGATGGCCCTTATCACTTGGATTGACTCATGGAGTAGAAGGAATGACAAATGATGGTAACCTGTCTTCCATTCACTGGAGTGCTGTCTGCAGCCTTAGTGTCACCCTGTAAGTGACAAGCTTTCTGATATACGAATCTCCTTCCTTGCATATGGACATTTTGAGAAGCAAGTGTCAGTAAAAATTTGGGAAGCAACAGCAACGTGCCATTGAAACAATGATCCTTAATACCATTCCTCATGTGTGGGACTGAGTAAGGGTTTCCTGGAGAGTGAAGTTGATTTAGGGATCAGGGATCAGCTGCTGAGGCTGGCACTTGGAAAAGACAAACCAAGCATTCACACTTCAGACCACTCAATACCAGCATTGTGTCCAATCCATCTTTCATAAGGGGGCTCCAAGAGGGGGAGGGGATAAAGGAAGGAGAGAAAATAAACCTTATTAATCCCGTGAAAGAGAGAGGAAAGAATGAACAAGATGTGGGTATGAAAAGACAGTTGGAGGAATGTTTAGTTTTGAAATCGACTTTGGCTTTTAATCTTAGACTCCACTGTCAAGTTTCTTCTGTTTTGCATTCCTCATCCCATCTTTCAGCACTGGTCCCCCTCCACCCCTCAGGCTTTCCTGTCCTCTGTTTCACTCGCTCCATCTGTCAAGGTTTGCCTTCTCTTGGCGTTCTCTTCATTTCTCCCTTTTCCTTCTTTCTCACTCTTTGCCTCTCCTTCCCTGGACTCTTTCTCCTGTTGTTTTACAGCTTGAGTCCCTCGCCTTTTCCCCCTTTCTCTTGCACGGCACCTCCAAGCTCCATTCCCTCTTCTTAAGGAAATCAGCCAGGCCTCAGATGGAGCTGTTGTCCTGACAACCTAAAGGCGCATCAGGCTTTCACTGAGGCTGGCGGCTGCTGAAGGGGGCAGTTGTGGAAAGCGAGGGGCCACGCTGAGGGGAGGGCAGAGGGGATGACTCCGGGGGGCTGTTGGAATCCGCGACGGGCGGGGGAGGTGCCAAGCGGAGGGAGGGCGAGAGGGAGGGACTGGAGGGAGAAACAGGAAGGGGAGGAGGGGGAGGGAGACTCTGGGCTGCTGCCGCTGCTGTGTGGGTTTCTTTACACTCGTTGGCAGGCTGGGTGCCGGCTCCCTCGCCCACCGGGAAAGTGGGTTACGGAGGCAAGAGGCTCAGCTCAGACGCTGGCAAAGGAGCATCCAGCCACAGAGAGACCAGAGAACACCTTCTTTTTGGCCGCCTTCTCTTCATCTTTTCTAGAGGGTTTTATATTTTGTACTCTCTCCTTTCAAATTTTGTGTCTTTGACTTTTCCCCACCTCTTCTCGGGTTTTTGAGGGCTTTGTTGAGTCTTAGAGGCAAAAGAGACTGAGCGAGGGAAAGAGAGAGGCAAAGTGGAAAGGACCACAAAACGGCAAAGCCCGTTACGCGTTTGCCGTGGATGAAAGCCCTCCGTTTGTAAAGCCCTCTCGGCGAGCAGCAGGCCCACGCACATCCTCCAGAGTAGCCCGCGACCCGCACCTCGGCGTGGCTACCATGGTCGCCAGAGTTCAGCCTGATCGGAAACAGTTGCCGCTGGTCCTACTGAGATTGCTCTGCCTTCTTCCCACAGGACTGCCCGTTCGCAGCGTGGATTTTAACCGAGGCACCGACAACATCACCGTGAGGCAGGGGGACACGGCCATCCTCAGGTAGGGCTTTCGGGCAACTTTTCTGTGGCGCTTAAGAGTGTGTGTGTTCTCCATGAACTCCAGCTCCTGATGCTGCAGGCTTGTGCTGTGTGTGTGCGTGTGTACGGGTGTGTGCGTGTGTCTGCGCGCCTTTTACAGACTGGTCGAGGTATCTGCCAGCAAATTTCAAGGGGATTCTGGTCACTGTCAAGGATCAGCAGGGTTGGTTAAATGTTGTTTAGTTCCTAGGATCTAGCTTCTCTTGCTGAGAAAGGCTAATTTCATCAATGGTGTTAGTGACATTTGGGCAGTGTTTTTGCTTTTGTGATTGCAGATGCTTTGTACTTAAGAGTTTTGTTGGGGTTCCTTAACTGAGAAAGAAGAGTTTGTTGAATTATGGCTCTCAGAGAATGGTGCACAGTATTGCATTCTCCGTGGTGTATGTGTGTTTGTACGTGTGGATACGTACAAAAAGCCTCTCGCTCTGCCCAGCAATAGTTTGGATAGGAGACTTTCCGTAAGGATCTGCTAATTGACATGGAGGGCAATAAATCAATCTTAGAACTTTGGTTGATTACTGAGCCTTTTCTGGAATGTGGATAGAAATCAACACAAGAATGAACAGAAGGAAAAAGAAAAAAAAAGGAACTTTTGCCAAATTGCTAATATTTAAGAATAGGAATGTTAAGCACAGAGGTTAGGAAAGAATTAACCTGGCATTAAATGGATATTTCAAATTGATTATTGACCTCAGCGTCTTATCTCTGTGCAGCTGTGCCAAACTCCTAAATATAATTTGGGATTGAAATTTGGAAAGGAAGAGTCCCAAGTCCTTGGAGTTTGACCCCTGTAAGGGACAGTGAGCTGGAGAAACTCAGATGGAACCTAGCCATAATTCTGTTTCTAAAGAGCTGCTAGCCTGTTTTCCTGTGTTTCTTTTCTCTCTTTCCCCTCACCATCCACTGCATATACTCCTTGGCCTTTTTTATAGCTTTCCTTGAATTTCTATCAGATACTAAAAATGAATGAATGAATGAATGAATGAATAATGAAAGAAAATGTTCTCCTTGGAGATCTTTTAAAATCTCATTTCATCCAAATGAAATGACCTAATGTCAGTCTGTCTCTCTGGCTAATATTGTTTGTTGTGGCAATAAAAAGCAGTATCTGATAGAAAAGAAGCATCTAATCTGTGTGCAAGGAGCTGAATAGTGCATAAACCCTGGGGCATCGGGGAGCAGTTCTATAGCAGAGCTGCCTACAGCAGCAAAGTTTTCTTTCCTTTTCTCAGAAATAAATTTGGTTGGCTGTCACAGTGTCCTGCTTTGGGATCTCTTGCCTTGTTAAAGAGGGATGTGTGGGTTGTGTGTTGCGGTGTGTGTATGTTGCTGCGGAGTATAAAAACTAAGAAAATCCTAATGTGTAAGTGCTCCTGTCTTCATTTCCTGAGCATTGCGTTATTATGAATCCCAAAGATCCTACCATCCAAAGCATTTTTTCCCTTCTAGCTCTCTCCAGCCCTGTGAAACCTGCATGTGTGATTTATCCACATGGAGTAATAAGATTTATAGAGTAATTTATCTGTTTGCAAAGGGATTTGGACATGATGCAGAAAATATTTTCACAAACACATAAGCATGCCATGTCAACTGCTAGCGTTCATATTCCCTAACATCATTAACCCTTTGCAAGTGAAGCACTCTATATAAATTTATGCTATTCTTAACAAGATTTGTTTTCACTGATTATAAGAATGAATATGGGAAAAGTGAATACTCTGGGTGTATAAGTTTTTATGTTAATGTCCATGAACTTTGTAAGGTCTTTCTAAGTCAGCATCACCTATATCTTAAGCTATAGTTATCAAAGAGTTAGATAAGCATGTAAATGTTAATTTAGAAGAAAGAAGGTATTCTTATATTTTTGTACATTGTATGCATACAACTCTATGTCTATGAGAGGCAGTCTTACTACATAAATATCTATATATGATATATACGTGCTTCTGTGTGTCTATAGCTCAAAAGAAATGGAGTTTTTAAGCATTACACTTTAGTAGACATTGCAGTATGGAAATGGGGTGGGTAGTGAGCACAGAGAATAAATGTAGAAGCAGTCATTCCCTGGGAAAGAGAAGATAGACCAACAGAGCATGCAGAGAAGTCACCTGTGAGAGCCCACTGCTTTCCCAGACCTCACCTAATGTGCCCTCTTTTTTGTTTCCTTTGCCTTGGACAAGGCTTTATTTCTGGGTTGGTGGAGCTCTATCAGAAGTAACTATGGAGAGAGTTCCCTTTGTTTTTCGTAGCTGACCTTCTTCTCAGTCTCTTTAACTGAATCCAGTAAAGCTTTGTGGGTCAGTTTGCTGGTGAAGATTGGCACTCTTGCTTTCTGTTTTCAAGTCTAGCCTGGGAAAGCCTTGCTTCCACTTTATTTTTGACATTTTACTGGGAGCATGAGCCTCCAGGGGAGGAGAGGCAGGAGAACTTGGTTCGTTGGAAGGCACAGTAGATGTTTGGCACTGAGAAAGTGAAATGGCAAGGGGGAAAAAAATCCTGTCTCAGTGAGTCTGTGGCCCTGAATGATCTGAAATGGCAACAGGAAAGAACGGAGGTTTGTAATTCTGGTGGTCCAGTGACAGGAGTTTGGCCGACTGTCCCCAAAACATTTACCTTTACTGCCTTACTTCCATGAAACAAGTGCTTTTGGGGGGGGGGGCGGGAATTGATGCTTACTTTTGTATAATTATGATCTTTGATGTAAATGTGCGTCTTGATAGGACAGTATATACTAGTCTTGGGGTCTTGCTCTGTAATTTCTGTCTTTTGGAAGAAAGAAAAGAAAGACTCTAGAATGAAGGTGATAAAACTAGGTGGAAAGAAAGACAATCTCATGTATACCAATCTAACCCTGTTGTTTCCCAGAAGGGATTCTAGATCTTTATGAGTGCCTTTATGAGATCCTTTAAGAGCTAAAGGAAACCACAGTACCATCTTCCATCTCAAAGGCAAAGGATCAAAGTGTGATTCACAGACGGGTGGCAGCCGCAGCAGCTCCTGGAGTGCCATCCTAAACCCTACTGAACCAGAATCTTCATTTCCATTTGTTTGCACAGTAAAGTATGAGACACAGTTACCCACAGGACTTTACTTGTGCGGAAGTCTCAGTTGCTTTTCTGAACGGAGCCCACCTGCCTCACTGCCACCCCCGCACAAGTGTAGTAGTTCATCAATTACTGGATAAGTTTCTAGCACTGGTCCTTCCAACCCTCTATCCTTGTACCCAGGCTCCCATAGGGATTCACTTCCTGGTTAATCTTGGCAGCTTGAAACCATATAGCTCTTTTGATAAATTAAGGGAAAAGTGAAAATAGTCTTCCAATCTGACCTTTAAAATTTCATTTTTAATAGTCCCACTAACTGTATTTTCAATATTAGCAGCATATGTCTGGAAAGATCATTATAAAATAATCCCAATATATCTGCTCATAAGGTAACTCTAAAAATTATATATACCTGCATATCTGGACATATTGCATAACTGCATATGTGGTAAAATCAGAGGATCCACACTAGTGTTGTGACTTTAAATATTTAAAATTGGCGGCATTGAAATTGCATTTATTTCACAATTCTGACCCTATTTGATGTTTTCAGGATATTATAATACCTTTTATGGTGATAACATTTTTACCATTTAAATGTAAATGTACCTAATAAGTGTTAGGTATAAGAAACTAAGTACCTAAGTTGAAAATAGTTAAATTTTTAGTTTTTCAAAATCTTTGGTCTTTTATTTCCTTGTTTGTTTCTACAGTAGGAGAAAAAGCAAAAACATTAAAAAGATGCGATTATTTGACAGTAAAATGTAAAAATTTTGTGCGACTTTTAAGAGAAAAATGGCTTCTCTTCTTTAAAGCATCTGGCACGCCTACATTCACAAAGAAACTGTCAACAATCAAACAAACTCCTGACACAGTGTGTGATTTTTCTACCTCTTATAATTATTCATTATTTGAAAACAAACTTTGTGGGCATGGGTCTATAGGGAGAGTTTGAGACAGTTATGAAGTTTTCTTTTTCTGTAGTTAACTCACTAAAGGTAATCAAAATTTATAGGTTCTTACTGATACTTTAAGG